TCTATCTGAATTTAATTTTTGGGAACATTTAGCAAATGCATTAAAAAACTTACAAAGTGCAAATTTTAATGTGAATGCCATTGAAATAAATAGGAGGCAAGTCCTGAAAATCAGTTCAGTTCATTAATCTAATAGTCAAGAGACTTACACATAAAGGGCATCGGGAAAAGCGCACTGATAGGGGGACATGTACCAATGCAAATAAAATTGAATTGTAATAAATAAAGGCCCTAAATCTTATTCAACTTTGAGAGAAACTTGGGAAACACACCAGTTCTTTAAATTAAATACTTCAGAAATGCCTTTAAGTTATATGCACTTAACACTACACTTCTTCAGTACAGCATCAACCATATTCTGGTATCATATAATTTTAAGTGCAATGCGTTTTTTACTGTACATCCTTCCTGGGCTTACATAAAGCATCAGCACCCCTATCTGATTATTTGTAACTTGTAAAATCTCTTTTTGGCAAAACACGTGGTTTTTAATCCAACAGTAATAGCTCAGAGTTGAGTGGTTTTGGGTAATGCAAAGAAGAGGTGTAAAATATATTGGAAGGTTTACATTTCGAAATAAAATAAAACTAACTCTCTCAATTTTGTAACAATTGCCAAACAGTGGCAAAACATGTGTCATACTATACCACCCCACTTTCCAGACATGTTGTGAAGGAATCAAAATTACAAAGCTATATATAGCTTACAGTTGCTAGAGAATATGTAAGAAGCTTGATTGGGCAGTAATGTGAGTGAAAACAATAAAGAAACATGCTGTACATCATGTAAATCTTAGTAGGCCTCAATTGAACAGGAAGAGTCAAGGCGCTTATTTATACAGAAATTAAAATTACAGTGTCAGACACAAAGCAGAAATATTGCAGTGAATCAGTTGGAGGAGGAGGCATTTTGAGAAGGACAGCCAGTATGCAGCTTTTCATATTATAAATTAATTTCTAACACAGAAAAAATATGGAAATATTGTCCACACTACATAGACCACATTTCAGCTGTTGTAGTAGGCCACATACTGCACATCGTGTAAGCGTTTTTTATTAGACTACACATGAAGAGAGACTAGGCATTTTGACATATTACATTGGTGTATGTCAGAAACACAAAGCAAAAATGCTACAGGGACAACTGCACTTCATGTAAGTCTTTCTAGTAGGCTATATTTAAACAGGGAGAGAAATGATTTTTTTTATCCAGAAATAAAAATTACAGCAGAGTATGTCAGAGACACAGCAAAAATATTATAGGGACAACTGCACATCATGTAAGTCTTTCTATTAGGCTATATTTAAACAGGGTGAGACAAGGAACCTTTTTATCCAGAGATAAAAATTACAGCAGAGAATGTCAGATACAGAAAGCATAAATATTACAGAGATATATTGCTCATCAAGTAAGTCTTTTTTGGTAGGCTGAATTTGAACAGGGAAAGATGGGACATTTTTGATTCAGAAATAAAATTTATGGTGGATTATGTCAGTGACACAAAACAAAAATATTATGGAGACAAGCTGCAAAATTACGTAAGTGTTTTTATTAGGCTGCATTTAAAGAAGGAGAGATAAGGCACTTTTTTATACAGAAATAAAAATTACAATGGATTATGTCAGAACCACAAAGCAGGAAAATTACAGAGACAAGCTGCACATCATGTATGTCTTTTTAGTAGGCTGCATTTGTACAGGGTGAAACAATACTCAATTCTACATTCAAAAATAAAAATTACAATGGATTATGTCAGAGTCATAAAGCAGATTTTTACAGAGACACACTAAACTTCATATAAACCTTTTAGTAAGCCACATTTGAACAGGGAGAGACAAGGTAGTTTAAGTGGAAACCCCACAAAATAAATTACAAATGCATTTTAGGGGGAAAACCTGCACACATGAAAAAAAAAATTGTGTGGCATTTCCCCACAAATCTATACCAGACTCTTTAAGTACACAACCTGGCAGGCCAGCAAATACACTTTAAGATAAGGAGACCACTGGGTACCCACCCTTCCCCCTCGTGAATGAAGGACTACATAGTACCCTTACTCATTCACAAAAAAGTTGGTAGTAGAGAAACACACAGACAGGCCCATTATTACAAAATTGTAAAAGGGTCATGCATCAATCACAATGAATGCTGACCACTGAGAGTAACCCACTGATTGTTGAAAGAGAAAAACTCATAGATGTGGTAGCTATCATGTGTTGCACATGATAGCTCTCCAGGGCTGTGAATATTTTTTATAAAAAGGGGAACAATGTGCTGACAACACTGACCAAATATGGACATGGCCATATTTAGCCTATAGCCATGGCCATATTTGGTCAGTGATGTTACCACCACCCCACCCCATTGCTGGGGATTCCCTTATAGAGGGTTCCAGAAACAAGGAACTAAAATAAGCCTTAAAATACATACCAGGGCTACCATTTCAATCTCATCCTAAGAATATGAATTGTCTGACTGCTTATGGATTACATTTTTTGACTAAGGAAGAAAACCTTGAGTGAAGAAGTTTAGTTTGAAAGCCAGGTAAAAAGCATTTTCAGAAATTTGCCACCAAATGTAGCCCCGATATTCATCTCAAAAAACATTTCTTTAAAATCTTATTAATTAGAATAACCCAAACTCACATTCACAAATTGACATCATTCCTGGCATATTTTATTTAAGTAAATGACAGTAGATTTCATTCCAGTTTACTCTAGATTTTCTGATTAACTTCTTTTTCCTTCAAACAGGATTTACACTTTTTTGCTTTGTTGTCTTTGTCCTCTTTGTAAATTATCCTCTGTTGTACTGAAATGCAAAGCAATCTAAGCACTAAAATTTTTCTTCATGACATTCAGAATTATTTACCTTTTAAACATGTAAAACTCAAAGCTGTAATAGAAAAGAAACTTGCTGAATCCAGTGATGTATTTGTTTTAAATTTCTTTGATCTTTCATAAAATGAAATATATGAAAGGGAATGCAGAATGAGATTCTGCTACCACTGATAACTTCAGATTTAAGGATGTTTGCAGGTTCATTAGTTGGCCAAGTCTTAGAAAATCAGACCTAAATGTAATGAGAACAAATTGCTTTTGAGGCAGCCACCTTTCCATTTAGTTTTCGTTGTTTTGATTAACAAGCATTTTTAATTTATTTCACCTATGTAAAGTTTAGTTCAGAAGTGAGTGCTGATGGATAAATACTGATGGTTTCCATTTCGGTATAATAGGATCACTTGGGATTTCTTGGACAGATAATTATATGTTACTTAAAGTACATGCTTTTTTCTCCTGGAGATGCAAATGCGATCTATTCCATCTGGGAGTCAATGTATGGCTAATTGTCTGGTCTGCATGTCTGGGACACATTTACAGTAAATAATTTGAGTAGGAAGCTGGTTTAAGATCACTTGGCTTACATGTGCAAGTTAATTCAGCCATAGAATAGAAAAACAGAGCAAACAAATGTTTCCACAGAATACTGATCAGCTGTCATTTATGTTGGGGATTAGTAGAGTGAAGCCGTTTGCTTCCTTCTGGCAGTACACATATAGAATATGTTGGTCAGTTTGGAGCTTTGCTACACTGGTCTCATACAGCAAGCAACAAATCAAGTTTTGCAGCAATCAAAATGTTTCTCATGTGTCTCATGAGGGGGTGCTTGGATATTTCCTGTGTCAGATATGGTTAAAACTACAGTAGATATATACAGTCAGTTATAGATCATCAATTACAGTCACATAAAGTAGTGTAATAGCAACAAAATGTGGGCTATATTTCAGACTCAAATCTGTAGTGGTTTTCAGTTCACTTTACATAGTTATGTTGACAGTATATTATTTGTTGTGATCAGGTTAGTAGGCAGTCACTATGTAGCTGACATATTATCAATAGTTTTTAGGAGAGAGGCAGAAATATTGCCTTTTAAATCATATACACATCTTGAGGGCTTAAGTGGAATTCTCAGGAACTAATTTATTACAGAAATTATTTTAATTATTATTAGGTGTTTAATAGTCTGATAACCTAAAATATGAATTTTTAAGAGTTAGAAGAATGTCTCTTAACTATCTCTGTTTTGCTAGGGATTTTTCAAGTTTGGGGACATAAATTTGGGTCACTTTACTGGGATGTTTTATGTCAAGGCTTGGAATACCTGGAAATCAGACTGTTGCTTTAGTCAGAGACAGATATGAACTTATGTTGTGCTTTGCCTTCCATTTTTCAAAGCAGGAAAATACTATTTTAATCGCACACATTTACATTTTCTGAATTAACATATTTTGCCTTGCACTCTGACAAATCTGCCTTTGGGACTGCATGTGCCAATGCTTATAATTTTATGTATAGTTAAATGTCACTCTTTCATTTAAAAAATTAGATTTCAATCAACATATTCTGGAATATATACACATCTATAGATAGAAACTTTTAAATCATGTATTATGGTATAGTAAAACTAATCTCATTTTCTTTCTTTTTTTTGTTACAGTTCATCGCCTTCGCTTCCTTGTTCTTCATCTTGGTATCTATAACTACATTTTGCCTGGAGACCCATGAAGCATTTAATTCCATCATCAATAAAACTGAGACAGTAAATAATGGCACAGAAACTGTTTCTTTAATTGAGATTGAAACTGACCCTGCCTTGACATATGTTGAAGGAGTCTGTGTGGTATGGTTTACATTAGAATTTTTAGTACGTGTCACTTTCTGCCCTGACAAACTTGAATTCATCAGAAATCTATTAAACATAATAGATTTTGTGGCCATTTTGCCATTTTACCTGGAGGTGGGACTCAGTGGACTTTCCTCCAAAGCTGCTAAGGATGTACTAGGGTTTCTCAGGGTTGTGAGATTTGTCCGCATCCTTCGAATTTTTAAACTGACCAGACATTTTGTAGGACTGAGAGTGCTTGGGCACACACTTCGAGCTAGCACTAATGAATTTTTGCTTCTCATAATATTTTTGGCTCTAGGAGTCTTAATATTTGCCACAATGATCTATTATGCTGAGAGAATAGGTGCCAGCCCAAATGATCCATCAGCAAGCAAACATACACAGTTTAAAAATATTCCCATTGGGTTCTGGTGGGCTGTGGTTACTATGACAACATTGGGATATGGTGACATGTATCCTCAAACTTGGTCAGGGATGTTGGTAGGTGCACTATGTGCTTTGGCTGGAGTACTTACAATAGCAATGCCTGTTCCAGTCATTGTTAACAACTTTGGAATGTACTACTCCCTTGCTATGGCAAAACAGAAGCTGCCAAGAAAAAGAAAGAAATATATCCCACATGGACCTCAGGCTGGTTCCCCCACGTTCTGCAAGATGGATCTTAACATTGGATGTAACAGCACACAGGTGGATGCATGCCTTGGTAAAGATAACCGAATGATGGAACACAACATGTCAGGTATAGTACAAGTCATGTAACTTAAAGTAATGAAAAAAAACAATGTTATGAAAACAATAAACATTTTTCAGTTTTTTTTATAATTGTCTGTTCCCATTGAAGAGCTTGCACTTTTTTTCCTGCTCAAGTGACAAGGGGTTCAAAGAAAGAGGACACATATATAATATTCTCAATGTTGACAGAATTAAAAATGGACAGAGGTTATAACACTTTATCACTCGATCCAAAAAAAAAAAAAATGAATTGTTGGTTGGGGAAATTTTTATAACTCATGTCAGGCAGGTGAACTATTTACAACAATTCTCTGATTTTTAAATGATTTCTTGCTAAGGAAATCATAGTTATTGTCCATTGAATTGATAGCTTGCTAACTTTACAGTTTTGTAACTCAGTCATTTAGCGGCTGAATTTGTGCAGTGTAATATGTAACCACCATTTACCTGTAGCGTCATGTAGCAGTGAAAAATTGCTTCTTAGTGAAAAATCACCAGTGACTATAGTGAGTAAATCACGAGCTACAAATTTTTGCTAAATGCTGGCATTAGCAATTTGTACTAGAAATCCATCTCTACTACAAATTCGCCCACCTGGCATGACCCTACAGCTAGGCAGAGAAGAACATCAAATCAATCGGGTTAATTCAGATTATAATTTAAGTACTTGAGTTTGGCTTGGTATCAACCAGTCCTCTATACAGCAGAGCTCTGACTGTTAGAGGGAAAAGCACTTACAGCCATATGGATTTTCTGCAAAGCTCATGTGCTAAAAAGGTTCATGCTAACAGGAGGTGAGAAAGGAGTACCAGAGAAATGAGCTCTCCTGTTGCCTTTTTCCACAGGGTAAGGGAGGGACAAGACCTTGTTGTATTATTTACCTGCAATGGAGAAAAGTCATCTCTCCAGACTAGTGTTGCTGTGTAGCAGAGCTGTGTAAATCTCAGGAATTAATAAACAGAAATACAAATCTATGCCAGGTAAACTAGTTCTAATGTATGTATTTTATTTGTGTATTTTTCTGTTTTCTTGATGTTCATATTTAATATATAAAGATATATTATACTATATACTGTGCTGAATGAAGTAAAATATACTCTCTAATGCGCTGGGATTCAAGTTTCCAAGGGAGCTCTTTTCACATTTTCACTTACCTCACATGTGTGGGACGATCGCAGTTTTTCACGTGTGTGGGACTGACACGCGTGTTCACCTTTGCGCATAAACACGGGGGTGATGGGGGCACTTTAATTTTTTTTAAAATATTAATTTTTTTATTTTTTTATTTCTACTCTGTGGCTTGAAATTTTTTGGATCACTTTTATTTCTGTCACAAGGAATGTAAACATCCTTTTTTCAGCAATTGGCACATGACAGGTATGTTTTATGTAGGGATCTGGGGCTTATAAGACACCAAATCCCTTCTCTACACTAAAAAATATGCAAAACACCAAGATCTGTATTTTTGAATGCTTTTGAGGTTTTAAAATGAACTTGGCTTTGTCCAGTTTTCTGAGCAGCTGGCAGATGCACCTGCTGGTTGCTTGGGTCTCACAGTGGGAATAGAGAGCCCGAGCAAGTGGAGGAAAATGGCAGGAGGGAGGGAGTCCCCTCCCACTGCTTGTAACAGCGATCGAGAAGCTAGTTAGCTATTGCTAAACCAGCTATTCTGATTGCTATTACAAGAGAGCTAACCGCCGGCTCTAAAAAACGGTACTGGGGTGATTCCTGCAGTTGTAGGCATCATCCCGGTGTAACCACTTGAAGACTGGTGACGTGCCAGGTATGTGACTGGTCGGAGTGGAAACCTGTCATGACCCTGGGCAAGTCACACTGGTTATATGGTGACAAAATGTATAAGCAAAATTATTATTTTCAATGGGACTTGCATGCTAAAATAATTAATAGATTCAGGCATACAGACAGATGAACTTATATGCATATTTTGAACTTTCAGAATTGAGCTTTTCCCCATCTTTTCTGTTTTTCAGCACCTCCCAATGGTAAAATATGCTATTACATTAAAACTATCAAATACTATTATCAAAGTATTAACAGGCCATGACCAAAACTGACTTTTATAGGAAGAGTTGAGATTTGTAATTCACTTGAACTACCTATCTCTCTGGATCCGATAAACATTTTGACATGATGTTTTCATTAGGGTTTAACTCTGCTTGTGCATTTTTTTATCACATATTTAGTCTAAATTTCCCAGATTTGATATAGTAGAATTTTAAGTTTGCAAATGTGATTTTAAAGCACACATGCAAGCATTATTGTAGAATGGAAAATATTGTCGGATTTCAAAAAACAAGTGCTGATACGAGCAGGTAATAGAACCTTATTAGACTGGATTTTCCATCATTTAATTTTACTTTAAAATAACTCTGTGGATAATCTAAAAGTGAAAGCAAAATGTTTCCCTGTAAAGAAGCCTTTTTCGCTGCCTGCATTGCTGAATGCTGCTCTGAAGAGGAATTCTCTGAAGTCTGTGCAGGAGTAGACACTTCCGGGAGTATTGATCTCCCTTGTCCCGTGATTCCTGTCACTGACCAGACATCACTATAGGACATACCTTCAATGGGGGGGCAGAGAGAAAGATATTTACTTGATTCCACACAAGGAGACTTTTTGCTTGCATTTTTTGCTTAGGGACAGAGTAAATTTCAGGGTGATGTTATGTACATGAGATAAGGGATGCATCAATAACTATGAAAATGATAGTAAATTAATTATCTGGATCTTTTGGTGTTGTTTTTTTGGAAGCAAATGCATTCAGTCCAATTTAGTTTCAGTTAGTGTATCAACTCTTTTCATCTCCTTCAAAAATGTAATTATCTGATTAAAGTAAAGCAGCTTTATCTATGTTTATGATAATAAAAGAATCCCCTATAATTTAAAGAGAAATTCTGCAGTAGCAGAGATAATTGCATGTGATAAGGGAACCTAAAAAAAAACAGTCTGGAAAATTTCTGAAGTATGAGAGCTTTTATTATGAGAGTCACTCAACTGGGTGTACAAGAATCTGAAATGTAGTTTTAAAGCCCAAGTCTAGGTTCCCTAAAAATAAAAACAGCCTTGCCACTGCTAAAATTAAAAGTAGCTCTCACTCTGTGCTACAGTACTGGTTCTCTTCCAGCATCATCAACCCACTTCCTGTGATTCAAGTACATCAAGGATTTTTGGGCTTTAAAATATTAAAATTGTGTCAACATATTTATAAATTATTTGTATTTATCTTTTTGTTTAACTTTAGACATGACATTGTAGCTCGAATGTCAGAGTCCAAAGGGATACACAAAGTGTGACAGTCACTGCTTTGTCCATTGCCCAACCTGAAGCACTATTGCTGAGCTCCTAAGAAGTGTAAATAACAGCACTCTAATTAAGAGGAAAAAAATACATTGATCTCGTATTTGTTTTTATAATACAAGAGTTGAAACATTTTCGCCTTGAGTTAGTAAAGCAAACGACCAAGACCAAGAGTAAATTGTTACATTATGCTTGCAGTGCAGGCTTCCATGAGCATGTAGATGTATATGTACACAATCCTTCAATCATTCTAGCTGTCAGTGTAATTCTAAATTGTTGAAATTAGCATGAAACAATATTTTCCCAACATCTGTTTTTCAAAATGAACATGAAAGTTTTAAGAACAAAGAGATGACACCTCTCTAGGTCAGTCCATCTATCATACTGCTTTAGTCATCCACCCGGAGCTGAATGAACTTGTAGCTGCACTCGAAGGATCCGGACAGCCCTACTCCAGTTTGACACTTTTATTGTAGAAATCATTTAAACATGTCACAACAGTGAGCATGGTGAGAGATATGTCAACGTGTTTCACGCTACCAGCACTTACTCATAACATTATATCATTACGAGTAACATATCAAGTGTTGAGTACGGATGCACCCAGCGACAATCCAGCAGAGTGTCATTAGGTGCACTGGAACACCATGTGTAGAGTTTTGAAGTACAAGCACAGTAAGGGAGGTTATATGGACTTTGTTTTTGATTTTTAAATTTGTGTAACACAAGCACAATTGCAAGGAGACGGTTTATTTCATTGTATGTTCACTGACACTGTCTTGAGTGTTTACAATATGCCCGCCAACACCATGACATGACTCATCAGACTTTTTTTTGTGGCATTGGCGCAGTAAAGGCTTCTTTCTGGCAACTCGACCATGCAGTTCATTTTTGTTTAAGTATTGTCGTATTTTGCTCTTTAAAACAACAACATTTTTTTCCAGAGTAGCCTGTATTTCTCCTGACTTGTGTTTTTTTTTTTGTATACTGAACAATTCTTCTGGCAGTTGTAGCTTCAATCTTTCTTGGTTTACCTGACCTTGGCTTTGTGTCAAGAGATACTCAAATCTTTGGATATCTTTGGCTTTGGATATCAAGGCTTTATCTTTTTATATCCTTTTATATCTTTATAAAGTTCCATTACCTTGTTACACAGCTGTTTTTACAGTTCTTTTCTGCTCCCCATGGCTCAGTATCTAGCCTGCTCAGTGCATCCATGTGAAAGCTAACAAATGCATTGACTATTTATACACAGAAACTGATTGCAATTTAAAAAGCCACAGATGTGGGAAATTAACCTTTAATTGCCATTTTAACATGTGTGTGTCAACTTGTGTGTCTGTACCAAGGCCAAACATTGTAGGATATGTGAACATTTGATCGGTGCCATTTGGGTGATTTCTGTTATCATTATGATAAAAAGGAACTAAACAACTAAATGTGATAATAAATGGCTTCATATGATCACTATCCTTAACTGATTCACGACCACCCAATAGCAGAACTATTGCTACAGGGCAGCAGGGCTGCGCAAAATCACATATATATATATGTGATTTTTCATTTCCGGGTAGGCGGTGTGTGCGTGCTACCATTGGTGGCTACAGCTGTTGATCACTGGGTCCCAGACTGAGATTCCCCACCAGCTCCTGGTGAGCGCCGAGGAACACTGGCAGGGTAGAGGTCTGTATGTAAACAATGTAGATTTCTCCCCTGTCAGTACCAACATGCTGCTTTATATTGCTCTGCATAGCAGAGCAATACAAAGTAGCAGTCTTATACAGTACAACATACACAGCACAGTTAGCAAAACAGCACACAGAGCACAGTTAACCATTTGATCATTCCAGGGTCATTAGTGCAGTGTCAGTGCTTTTTATTAGCACTGATCACTGTATTAGTGTCACTGGGATGTCCCACAGCCCCGCTATATGTCTCTGATTACGCCATTACTAGTATAAAAAAAATCCAGTATATATGCCACAATTTGTAGACACTATAACTTTCACGAAAAAATTAATTTACACATGTTGGGATTTTTTTTTTTAGCAAAGACATGTAGCAGAGTACATTTTGGCCCAAATTTATGATGAAATTTGATTTTTAAATTTTTTTCATTGGATATGTCTTATAGCAAAAAGTATTATATTTTTTTTTTTCAAAATTTTGGTCTTTTTTTGTTTATAGCACAAAAAATAAAAACATGCAGTGGCTATCAAATAGCACCGAAAGAAAGCTCCATTTATGGGAAAAAAGGACACAAATTTAATTTGGGTGCAGCGTTGCATGACCGCGCAATTGTCAGTTAAAGTAACGCAGCACCGTATCACAAAAAATGGCCTGCTCAGGAAGGAGGGTAAATCCTCTGGAGGGCAAGTGGTTAAATAACAGACAGTTTTTTGGCATGATCAGTCATATTTTCAATATCAATGCCAAAATTTCACAATTTATGCCAGGGTATGCAAACTTTTGAGTACAACTGTATTTATATTTTTTTTAATTTATACTTATATTTTATTGCTATTACTATATAATTTTTTAGCATATTTCCCTGCTTTATGTGATTTGAAGCAATTTGTTCCCGAATTTTACCAGGTGAGGACAGTTCAGGAAGTGACCAACCCTTGTCACCTGGAGAAAGACACCCAATGAGACGCTCTAGCACTAGGGATAAAAACCGAAGAGCAGGAACTTGTTTCCTTCTGACGGCAGGTGACTATGCGTGCAATACAGATGGCGGGATACGGAAAGGTATGATATTTTTCAATTTTGAACTAAATATAATCTGAATAATGTATTATGTAAGGTAGAGGTAAGCGATCATCGACACTCCAGCTGACAGTGATCTATAAATTATTTAGTGAATATTTAAATTTTTTTTTAGCAAGAATAAAAAATAATATTACAAACCACTGGAAAAGCAGCTGGGGTACCAAGATAGCTTATCTTAACATAATGCACTGTTTATCAAGCTGTTGGATATGTACACCAAAGAATCAGTTACAGCTAGATTTCTTCAGATATATAAAAAAAAGCATTTAAAAAACATATGTAAATGTTTTTACTTACAATAATTGGACACATTTAGAAACAGTAACTTATGGTTTGTGTTTCATAGTGAATGCTGAGTTTTATTATGTCATTATGATAACAAAGTAGAATCTCATGTGCATGGTGACATAAATAAAGAAATTATGTTGCTTATGTTTAAAGTAGAAATAAACTTTTTTATACAATAATTGTATTTAAAAAAATAATGCATGTATGCACACTCACAAAACTAAGGGGTCTATATATAAAATATTCTTTGATACTTGTCAGAAACAGTATTTCCCCATGTTATCAAATAGATTAACTCCAGTATCAACAGCACCATCTAGTGAACAAAATGAGGTATCGTTTTATAAATACCTAAATGAGAAAATATACCTCATTTTGGCCACTAGATAGAGCTGTTGATACAAGAATAATTCTATGTGAAAACGGTGAAATTTTATTCGGTTTGCTCAAATGTTTACGACATTTGTACAACTAATGTTTTATAAAATGATCCCTAAGTGTCTAGCCAGGAGGCTACATTTGTATAAGGGGGGGAGTACATCACTGCACAGAACAGAGTTGCCCCTCCCAGCTTTACCCCGTGTCTGCCGTCTCATTCTATTGACAGCAGTATTTACAAGAAGTAGCAAGTGGGTGATAAAAGAGCAGGCAGATAGGCAGAATTAAAGTGGGAATAGCACTGCCCTTTTACACATCTGTTTCCTGGCAAAGGATGAAGATCAATCCTACAGAAAATTTCCATTGAGGGAACAATTACATCACTTCCCTCAGACAAAAGTAACACCTTCATCATCTCCTGCTAATGCCATGAAGCATACTCTAGAAGATGGCATATGGATAATATGAAAAATGGAACACAGATTTGTAGGTATGCTTTCACAATCTGAACCTACAATTTCAGAGTGTATGCAAGAAAAAAATGTTTTAGTTCAGCCTGAACATTCTCATACAATTCTATATGGTATGACTCCCCTCTTTTATTTATTAATTTTATATCAATGTACTCTTTACTGATCAGCAGAACATTAACCCATTAATGCTACAAAACAATTGTCAAGTACAAAATAATGTTTTACCTTTAAATTACTAGGTGCTTTTAATATCTAAAGGGTATATATATATATATATATATATATATATATATATATATATATATATATAACAAAACAATTGGGCAGGTGTTAGTACAAAGAGCATTTTCCAGAACATGTTCAAAATAATATGTATAGAACCATATAAAGGTTTAATAAAATTTTCAATGTGTGAATATATAGCTTTGAATCACATAATGGAGACATATAATCTATATGAATATTGCACAATAGATGATTTTATAAAGTGTTTAGTAATGTATTTATTGGCAATTTACTTGGCCAAAGGACAAAGAAATTCTTCCAGTTGCTGATCAGTCCTCGGCTTGATAAACTTGCTTTGGGATAATCACACACAATTGAATGACTGTATGGTGTTCAATGTAGCTTAGCTCCTCTTTTTATTTCTTCCATCTCTGTACTGTGTTTGCTGAAAAGTTGCTTAGCAATGTGTGTGCCTCAGTCTAACCATTTAGTCATTTATGTCTCATGTTTTCATTTTTATTTTGTCTAACTGTCCAACAAACACACTGTATAATATTTAATTTTATGACTGCTCCTGGAATTCTAATAAAGCCGCAAGATTATATGCCAAAGCACATACTTGTTTCTTTTTTAAGTTATAATACTGAACTTCCTGATCTATATACAAATAAAAGATTATTACAGAATAAATGTATGCCATATTTCTTACCTAAAAATGTATATCTCTCTATATATATTTATACAAAAATTAGAAAGAAAAAAAATGTAGCATATTTTTTTGTAGCAGCATAAGCTTTTCAGTGCAGTGTTTGTATATTTGAAATTAGTGCTATAAAGTACCACTTTTTACATTTAGTTTTGATCCTCTATTTGAATATTTAGACATTTTGACATCAACAAGTGAAGCAACCTAGATTAAATTGTAAGTTCTACAAATGTTTTCTCCATATTTCTTCTTTCATGTTACCCTACATTCATCTTTGCCTGGGCTAATAACATAGGGAGGCTTGAAGTGAATGCCCATATCAGCCTCTGAATATTATTTAGAAAAGATAACAGAGAGAACAAATGGTTTTAAATACATAGATTTGTCATATAACATGTTTGATACATAGATGTTTGGAAATACTTATATTGTATGTGACTTGCATATTACCCACAACAAACTGATGAGTCAAACACATACAGTAGTTAGATCTATGTTTAAAATTGACATTATATAAATGCAGTAATACAATTTATGAGGTTACAAATATGTGGACACTTACAATTATGAATATATTCTCTTGCTGTTTCATGACCTCAAACAGACACTATCTTTTTCATAGATAAGTGAATGCCTTAGTTCCTCATAAAACAGCAGTCAAAATCAGGAAAGTAGAGATTTGTGCATTAAGTATCTTTGTAATTTTAGTTATTGGTTGCAATACCTATTTATCCTCACAACATTAAGCGTAGAAAGGCTTTCCAGTGTATCTATTACTGTGAAAAATTTCGGAACCGTAAAATGTATGACTTCAAATAACTTGTTCAGACACTGGGATTGATGTACTAAAGGCTAAAAGGTTGTTCTTTTGCAAGGGGATTTACACTTTAGGAGATAATTCTTCCTTAGCTAGGTGAATATGAGGAAAATTACCATTGCAAAAATTGTACAATCATGCATATGGAAAATAAAAAAATAAAGTATTTTTTGTTTCACTTTGGTGTCCTTTTATGAAACAGAGATCAGCAGCGATGTTAAAGATCGTGGCTGATCTCCGATCATTAATGGTTTAGGTAACAGAGATGATCAGTGGAGAACATGTTCTCCACTGATCATCTCAGCAAACATGTGGCCAGTATATGAAGGAGTGATCTCAGCCCTTCACTGGTGATCTGTGTTCTCCCTCCAGATTTTCCAGCCCAGAGGTGGAGAATCGGAGGAACCGCAAATGAAGCAGCGATAATTTACTGCTTCTTAGTAAACGGTGTTTGGCTGATTTCTTACTGTAATCTCGTGAGATTATAGTAACAGTAGCCGTTTTCCAGCGTTGAAAGCATTTGTAGATCGCTTCTCCCTTCATTCAGAGAAGCGATCTACACCGCTTCATAAAAAGGCATTCAGAGGAGAACTCTCTCCTCTGAGAATGCTGGAGAACTGAGCAGCGGTCATGTACCGCTGCATGATAAATGGACACCTTTATTGGATAATGGAAGTCAGCAAAACTTCACTTCATTCACTAAGTTAAGGGTAAATTCCCTTGCAACATGCAAGTTCTCTTGCAAAGTTATTAACCTGTTTGCCTTTAGTAAATCAACCCCCATTGGCTTCTTATTAACCTCAGATGTCTGTCCTCTTGAACACTACAGCATCTCTCCCCAACCATACCCACAGCACAGACATAACATATTTTATTCTGTTTATGAAAAGCAATGATGTTATTCTGCCTCTTTTTGATTCTCCACCCTTACGTGCACTCCACTGGGTATATTGCGCACAATAACATACATCCAAAACTAGGCTTTAGATTTGGGTATACTCTAGATGCAACAACAAACATAACAATGTCTAAACATTACCTTAAACAGATAAAGTGAGGTGCATTCCAAGATCCATATATATTTCAAAGCTAGCAGTTTAATCAAAACAATAATATCAACAGTACTGGCATCCACTGTTATTCACCAAATTAATATCTAAATACAGTTAGTGCTGCAATATTTTTATATTAGATAACAGTTAAAAGTAATATTTTGGGCAAATTGTGCATATGTAAACCCAATTAATAAAATATCACATACGATTCAACAAGATCTTGTAATCTCAAAAGTAATTTTACAAAAATCTCAAATCTGCACTTTCTTTAAAATAATACCTGGTGCCCCTGCCATGAAAGTCCTTATGATTCACTTTCTGTCATAGAGCGACAGTGGACTTTCCCAGTATACCAGTTGTGCTCTTTGGTATCACCATGCTCTCTCTTTGGAGACTACAGGCAGATATGCCAACACACATTGTGCAAGCATGTTTCACTGTTGTCACCATAAAAAAGCTGCCTTGAGAGATGAATAGCTGCAATTGCTGGAGTGGATATATGTAGACAAGCTGTAAAGCAGCTGAAGAGGATATACAACACTGAGTTGCAACAAAAAATAATAAGGTGAAAACAGTGTTTTATTAAAAATACACATAATTTGTTTATGATACACAGTACTTTACTAAACAAAATGCTGTCAGTTAAGGTTTGCATGCACTTTAAATACTTTTTAGTTCACAGCCTTTTGGCAGTACAACATCCAGCCTGTATAGTAAACCCTATAAAAGCTATCAGGCCTAATGTATTGTATTATTCTATTTTTAGTAGAAACACAAGTCAGCCATCCAATAGCAACTCTTCTTGCTAAACCCCTACTTTTCCATTTTATTTATACATAGTAGGCATACTTACCTAGGCCATGTGTGATGAAACTATTTGCCTACATGCTTGTATCATTTTTTGAACTACATCATTCTATTTATTCAGTGTGCAAACTTGGTGCCTAAATGTAATAGAGAAACAGTGTAGGGCCAATGAAATGCAACTAGGTCAGTTCTGATTTCAATGCAAACTATTAATGTCTGTTTTGAGCTGCATTGAACAATTAGTGTATTAAGCATCATTTAGCACACACACTTTTATTTAATTTCATATATTTCTCATGTACCTTTCTGCATATGCATGACCAGAAGGCTTTGGGAGAAAAAAAAAGCATTGCACACAAAGACTGCAGTAGCTTACTGTGTCTAATAATTCCTATTATTATTATTATTATTATACAGGATTTATACAGCGCCAACAGTTTGCTCAATAATAAATAGCTAGTTTTTAATTTTTTAAAGGCTCAGTTAACCCAAAATATATTTTATTTTTATATGTTTTATGTTTCCTAACAGGTTCTTTTGTGTTTTAGTGGCCCTGGTGTTGAGATCTATGTACTTGAGTTCTTTTTACTGCAAATTTACAGCAGCAATTACAACTCCCGCCCCACCTGTTGGATTTTTTAATCTACTTTCTTTAGTTGGGAATAAACAGGAGGAGTGAAAATACCATTTTATGGGAGTATAAATAAGACTCTAAAGCTGACCATAGATGGGTTGTCCTTTTTTGTTAAGGTGGTTGGGAGATTTCCCCCCACTGGGACATTGTATTTAGATTACACTGATCAGTAGCTACAGACATTTGGATGCAGCCACTGATCGACAAAAGTTTTCCAACTTGTCTGTTTGGCAGATTTGGTCTAATGATCAACGTTTGTTAAACACAATGGCCACACATTGATCAAAAATTTGGAAGGCCCCTGCTGGTCTGACTGAATTTTGATCTGTCAATGGCCAACTGTATATTGACAGGAACAAAGTCACAAGCTATACTGGGGATACGTCACTAATATGGTGTTGGGGTGACTCAGTCAAACAAGCTAAACATGGATGGGTAAAACCTTAAGAAAATATAATGCATACAATTTATCTAAAATATAATGTTATGAAATATAATACATATAAACTGGATGCTGAAGGAAGCAGGTACACAGTTCATGCTTAGCAGTTGTAAATTGTAACAAAAAACACCACATTTTAAGGGAAGATCTGAAAATAGATTGTTTTCCCCTTTGATATCCTTGTGTCCAGTAAAAGAACTGGAGAGATATTTTTTTTCAGTTGAAATGCAACAAATTGAACTCAGAAAAAGTAATGCACTGCAAATACAAATGTCCATGCCCTTTTATCAATTTCAAGTGCTTCCCATTTCAGAATGTTTATAAACTTAGTGTTAATCCTTAGATTTACAATTATAAAATGAGAACAAACTAAATTTTTATTCTGAATGTCTCATGTCTATCTAAATAAGTCTGCAATATGTTTATTGTCTATTTACACACAATTGAAACATTTGGGAAGCTTAAAATAGGTATTTTATAAAGAATTATTTTTTTTAGCTCAAATTATTTTAATTACTTACATAAGCAATATTTAATGCAATTTAAAAAAAATAGATTTCTAACAAACATGTTAAACCCCTACATGTTTTTTAAATCATAATTGTTTAAAGTATTAATTGTTTAAATTATTGAATACAAGCAAATGGTAATTACATTGTTATTTTCACTTTACAGTGGCTTTACACGCAGTAAAAATTAAACATTTGAGCTACACTATGACCATAAAAAATAACATGGGCATGTTTTACAGAAAAACTACTATTTATACCATTAACAGATATGCATATTAACAAGATGTTTACCAATGTTTTTATTTTTAAAATAAACTTGGGGCATAGAATAATATACTTACATTTAGCTATACTAAGTGTACATTTAAAAGTACAAATAAAAACATATAAAAAGGGATTCAGAATACATTTTTATGTTAATGTTATATAGTATAAATATTTAACCTACAAATTGTTTTGAAATCTGTCTAAATTATGTTTGGATTTAGGAAACATTGTTTTTTGGGAACAGTACTTTACTATGATGTTTACAACCTTCAATGTTTGGTTGCTTACTTACTTTAGCTGTACTAAAAACATTCTGTACTAAGATATAATAAACTATGACTGGAAAGTCTACATTTTTCATCTGAATCACCATCATTGAAGTATAATTATTTATCAAGAACATTTTAAAGGGGAGTTATCATTTCATGTAATGCTTTGTGTTTTTAATTAAGCCTGTTTATCATATAGTTTAACATGCCATTTTTTTTCAGCTGACACAATTTTAGTATTTTGAATAAATTATATTTTATGAAGACCCTTGAACTTTAATAATGCTGTTAATGCTTATCTTAAATATTATTCAGGTTCAGCTGAACAATTGCAGTAAATTAAATAGTACACATAGGGTCACATTAACCTATAAAATTGTCTCAGCTCTTCATTACTGTCTACATAAACCTTTTTTGATGGACTCATAATTGATTGCATTTCATTTTACTGTTTGTCTCTGTCTCTTTCTGGCTGAATTCCACTGATGTCTGTGCAATATTTCGTAAAAGGATATGAGAAATCCCGAAGTTTAAACAACATAGCTGGCTTGACTGGCAATGCCCTGAGACTGTCTCCAGTAACATCACCCTACAGTTCACCTTGTCCTCTAAGACGTTCTCGATCTCCCATTCCATCTATCTTGTAAAGCAGACTACATCAATCTGACAAATAGAATTCTCTCAAGCACTATTTACCACATAATGGAAATAATTAAATGTAGCATTAACTCTAGGATCTTCCCAGACAGCATTATGTCATCTGGAAATGCTAGGAAATACAATTTTGTCAGCAGATCATTTGCTATGATGCATTTAAAGTTATTTATCCTATGGAGATTGTGCATATCTACTGACCGACCAATTTCTCTCTGGCAATAAAAAGAATAGAGTTTGGATCGATCGGCCAGTATATTTAATAATTACATATATTTTCAGGGAAATACAGCTATACCAATGTGCTTCCAAATGATAGCCAACACTTCATTGAACGTTCATTTTCTTGTGAGTTTCTGATCCATTCTGAAGATGTCTGGGATCCTGTCTTTAGAGCTCGCAGTGTAACAGATCAGACCATTTGCATGGACCATTCCGTCTACACATCATATCAGCGCAATGTTGCAGAGTACTGGGGCTACCAAATGGCTCTGAACATAAGCTTGGCATCGTATCATTCGCTAATTAGTTGTCCTGCCAGTAGGAATTTGCTTTTACTTTCTTACTTTAGTTGATATTTTTTTAGATGACTTTGACTTGTTTTTTTCTGTGCTAAAATCTTGTAATAGAGTGCCGAAATGTCTCTGGTTGTTTGCACACAGATAACTGCAAAGAGGTTGTCATTACTGGTTACACGCAAGCAGAGGCCAGATCTCTTTCTTAATGGCTTGGGAAGGCACAATACATGTGAAAAAGGTAAATGCCATCCAGGCTTGCAATTTTAAGATAGCAGGTCTTCTTTTTACACCAGGGTTCTTCAACATTTTCATAGGCAAAACTCTAAAAATGTAGAAAGATAACATTTTGTAATCAATGTGTCAATTAACTAAAGAGGGATTTGAATATTTTGAGTTTTTTTGACCAGCCTTAAACATCTGGATAAAAATTTTGCTTATTTTCAAGTCAACCTATTTTGTTTATTTAGAGTTGTTTGTCATATATGTTCATGTTGGTTTGTCTAACCAATTGTTAATTTGTTTCATCCACCTCTCTTCAAACACTCAAACTGTGCCTGTACACAACTGGTTCAAGGCTGCATTCTTTTCTTTTGCGTTTTGCTGTGTTTTATGTGCTTTAAGTATGGTTGATGTCTTTTAAAACTGAACTATTTAGAAAAAAAGCCATTATTTTTAATCTGGGATTCACAAGAAATATAGCAGAAATATAGCAGTGGTCATAAAGTAGAGTTTATTTTCTAGATAATGTTTTGTTCAACTATACATAGAATATATGTATTCTATTGCTATCGTATTGCTATAGTGCAAATGCAAGCATCACCAGCCAGTTTATAGATGACAGAATGTTATAAAGCTTCAATAGTTTTCATTATTTCAACCAGTATTTGTAGTTTTACTGGACAGTATTCATTACTTAATCATAACCCGTTGAAATTTGTAGACTACACTAATGGCCGTTTTAATTTAATAATTTTGACTAGGTAAAATTCCCATCTTATATGATATATCCACATGTATTTTCCTGTTGTTATTCATACATAATAGTTAAATAGCATTTGAACCACTCAGGAAATCTAGGTAGCACAAACACTTACAGCTCATATATCAAATAAGTTATTTAATTTAGTTAAGTGATGGTACTTAAAGGTACCTCCATGTTCCCTTCAGGACACCCTTGAAACCCTGTAATTTGCAGCACACTGTTATGTAATTATTTCCTTAATCTTCTGAAGTTATAATTTGGCCCTTTCTCCTGTGCCTTTTCTTCTCCAGTTAGACCAACTATCACATTCAGTGGCACAGAGAGGTGGGAGAGTGTGGGACCAAGTACCAGCTTCAGAAGATGAAGTTGATATGTGCATTACAGAGCACCTCAGATGATGAGGGCACTCTGAAGATAACCCAGTGTTTTTACTGACACTTTCTAATGCCTGTGTTGCCATTGGCCAGTTTATTTTATTTTTTGTTGAGCACACATTTCTTTTAAGCATGCACCTTGCAGGCTGTGTATGATTGGGAAACAAATTGCCTTCTAGGTATCTGATTGTTTGGAAGCTAGATTTATCCCTGTGATGTTTAAAATACCACTTCACACCATCATGGCGTATTACCAATGAGTGTAAGACATGAATCTTTATCTCATAGCAACCATGCAGCTCAAGGGTAAATAAAATAAATGTTTTGAGATGCAAAGATAACAAAAATAAACCAATGAATAACTTCTGGACTATCCATGTCAAGTACTATTTTTCAATATGATTTGAGTAGCATGGTCCTTCGCATTTATTTAACTGTTGTACAGTAGGATAATCCATGAGGAGATCATAGCATCTTACAAGAGACCAGTAAAACATTTTCTTATGGTTTATGGTGCAAGTGTAATTCTGCATTGGTCTGGTGCTCTGATTTCATACTGAAGAAATGCATAACACTAGAGGGAGAAGTTGTCATAGACAGTTAAAATCTATTTATGAGTAATATTTTATTGCCAAGCATTATCTGAAAAACATTCTATAACTTTTCTAGCCAGTCTTGTGAAACCCAATGTCAGTGTTTAGATAATTCTGTCCATTGCAACAAGAGATATGATGTTTTGGGCTGGTGATATGGAACAGAAAACAAGAAAGGTTTTAAAATGAAATAAGTGACCTTGAGACTGTTGAATTATCCCTGACTGTTATTCTCTTATCAGTTGACCAGTTATGATTTTTACTGATATTGAAAAGTATAACATAAGTGAATATACCAAATCCCACAGCATGAGTTGCATGCCAGATTTTATATTAAAATACATCTAAAAATAATATTGGGATTAATATGATATTTGGTGCTGCTGTTATTGACTACAGTGTTGTACGGAATTTATCATGGATTTGTGACTGCTGAAAAGGGGACAGTGGAATTTAGCCATAACAAGGACTATGCTGGAAAGAAACTCCTGCTGATGAATGGGCCCTAGATGTAAGCTTCTCATGCTTCAAGGTAGTGAATGAGATCTGATGTCCAGCTCAATCTGCAAAGTGCAACAATCACAGACTGAGTTGTTTCAGTTGCCCGAGACCGGAAAGGTCTTCATTGGCATATAAGTTGTAAATAAATGTGAGCATGGAGTATCAGCTATTTTCCTCAATCTAAGTACATGTTCGATTGTATGGTTCTCATCAATTGATGTGTGTATATAAACCCCATATATTTTGGGTTACCTCACAATCCCTGCAGTACTCTAGTCTGTGCTGTAGATTGTATAGAAATGCACATAAGAAGGTGTGTGTTAACTTAACATGATCTGTATAAGCAGATATATCTTCATTTATTATTACTATGTGTATTTCAGAAGATGTATAGTAGCCTCACTTTTACTAAGTGGTGGTATTCTAGGGATATCTTGTAGGCCATATAGACACAAAGCTGCCAGTTCATTACTGTGTCTCCTGCTGTGCTTCTTTAGAACACCACTATTTGGTAATACAGGGCAGTAAGTCATAAACCACCAGATATGTGTATTATAATCTCTACCTTTACCCTAAGATATATCATGTTAAACATGCCAGAATTATTTTATCATTAAAATGTACCTATCTGGGTGCTGGCATTTCTTCCATTCTATAAGATAAAGTCTAAGTATTATTCTGACAAATAAAATCATGGTGGTAACAAATAAATTGATAGTGTGTGATTAATTCCATTGCTTTGACATCACTACAGAACCCAGCAGCATAAATATTTGTTGTAGAAGAATATTGATTTTTATTTTTTGCCAAGGAGAGATATATCTTTTTATCTGTTTTGTGCTATAAGAATGTGAGTTGTTATCTGTTACTCTGTCTATGATAATGTATATTTGAGTTGATACAATAAAATATTTTCCTTTATTTAATTATTCATTCTCAGTTGTTTTTTAAATGTTGTGCATTTTGCCTTTTTAATAAACTCTTACATTTCTGTGACTCAAAATTATTTGCACCTTAAGGGCAGCTGTAACTTTACAACAACTTTTGCAAAATCCATCCCCCACAAGCATTACTGTGCTAACACCCCCATTCCTTTCCCCAGCTGCTTACTTGCCTAAGGGCTTGTTCACACCACAATTTCAGTGTTCCAGATGCAGTTTTTGCATATGCATTCACATACATTTTTTATGCATTTTTGACACATTTTTCAAAGCATTTCAGTTTATTTTACCTACTTTTTTATTTTACATTCTGGTGTGTTCACATAAATTGTGATGCATTCTATATTTTATTTTGCATTTTGGTGTGTTTTCATGCATTGGATTCAGTTTATAAATGGAATGGAAAGCATTTGGTGTGTTAACCAGCCCTTATTTCTAGATCCAGTCTTCTCTGATTTTCCAGCTTATTGGTGAAAAATGTCTTTGGTACTCTTCTCATTGACTTAACTGGTTCTGTATGCAGAGACTGGAGACCTTTAGTAACAGCCACAGAGGGGAAAGAGGGGAAGGAGTCAAGGCTTTGGAACTAAAGGAAGTACATTTCTGAGAAGGAGGTTCGTGCAGTTTAGGCTAAGGAATAGTGATGGATTTAGCAAAATTTAGTAAAGGTGTATTTGTCCTTTAACCTGAACTCAAAAACGGAGGATTTAAAAATGTTGATTGTACCTAAGTTGAATCTTGAAAATGTACCTTGAATACCTTACTGAATAAAAAACAGTGCACTTCCTGCTATGTGAGGGTACCTAGGCACTCCTGCATCCATGGCCTTATAGCTGCTTATTTGTAGTGTTAATCTAAGGCTCTTCTGCTCCTGACTGCTAGTCTCAGAAGATTTGAAATTAAATTTGGTGACTACTGTGCTGTTTACTGTTTTTCTTACTGGAAACTCTGACATGAGGAAGCAAAACTCTGTCTCTACCAAGATGCAGTGCAGAACAAAGCATGGTAAGTCAGTAATTAGGAAAGATCAGCTGCAGGGAGACCACAGGATATATTAGGAATGTGCTCCTTGCCCTTTGTTTCT